AAGACAAGACCTTATTCAATTTGGACGTCACTCGAGCCGTCGGGTTGTAGTTCACCTTTTTATACGTGGTGGTATCACTAACTAGTTGATCGACTTTTTGTTCGTATTCAACCGTATCAATTCTATTAAATTAATCATTAAATTAATCAATTCTAATAATATTAATCAATCTATTTAAATAGTTAATCGTGTTTATTGGATTTTGATCTACAACTATCAAACATTCTTTTTTTGATTTATCTATAAGCTCGGGTTTTTCCTTTTAAAGACACAAATTCTACAATTATATTGTTATCTTAGTTGTTATAAGTGTTTGATCAGTTTTATTTCCAGTAAAAATCGATCGAATAATTATCAACAATCACATTTATATAAACATTCAAGTTTTACTACTTATAGGTAACAGATTTGAACGGTTGCATTTGATACGTATGAAATATTAGCTTTCGTCGCAAAACCGTCCGTGTGGTATTAAAAAAAAGTTAGTAGCCTATGTATTCATTCAGACTATGCTCCACATCTACACCCAATTTCTTCGAGATCCGTTTAGAGTTTTAATCTAAACTTTCACCTTGATTATAAAGTAAAGTAATAAGTGATATGTAACACCTATCATATTTTAAGGAAACAATGTTACGTCATAACGAAAGCGACGACACGTTGGATCAGTCAGTCTTCCAAATAGATCGCTTCAGTTCGCAGCCGCCGAGTTTGATGCGCACACCGTCGGCGAAGACGCGACATGGCCTGCCCAGTATACGCGCAAGTCAGAAATCTGGACACTTCTCTTTTAGGCACTTGAGAGAGAAGATGAACAAACCTCGTAAATATGTCGTAAGATGGAATCAATTATAATATTTAAAATGCCCACAGTAAGTCGTAATTTATAAAAACCTTATTGTTTTACTTCACTGTGTGCTGCTACATTGAAAAAAGTCGTGTGGTAAATATCATTAAAATTAAGTAAAGCGACGTTTATGCTTTTAGGCTCCAAAACCTATAAATAATATGGCGGACTTGTATGCACGTCTAGAAAGGCGAGGTGCGGCCGATGAAAACATATGGAAATGGTGTAAAAATGTGTCGAAACAATATAAAGAATCGAAAGAAAAACAGGTAAAGATTTAAATGACTCAGCAATCGTATATGTAAACTAGCAAGGCAGGGTATTCTAGTTCATTAATCAGGTATATCCGGCTCGAGGGACCAATCTTATTTCGTTCGTTTAGTGAAGAAATCGACTAAACATGGGCTGAAGGCTTGGAATGTGATGAACCGAATTGAAAAATGGGAAGGTTCTCATTGTGCAATATAATATTACGTTTTTCAGGACCAGGACGAGGGAGACGAGATGCCAATGGGCCTTAAACATTTCCCATGTCCCATGTTAAAAGAAACTATCTCGATACCGCTTCGAAAACCTCTTGTCAAAGACCCTGCGGCTGTCAAAATTCCAACCAAGTAATTATTACATTTAATAAACTGTTTCTTAATTTCTATATTACTCTATGGAAACTAGGTATATTTTTTATAGATCGACTATCTTCAAAATAAAACTAACTGAAGACGTAGACGTGACGAAGGATCAAGACACCAAACGTTTTAGTTTATGGAGCAAAGACTTTTCTAGTTTGTATCCAGCGTCAAAAATCGCAACTTATCAATCTCCCATTTAAACATTTTATTAACTTAAATCGTTTTTTTTTTAAACAGTTTTATCTTATAAAACTTTCTATTACATTAGTATACTGTATGTCTGTTCTTTATGTAATTTAATAATAAATTCATATTTCGTTATACTCGAAAGTTATTTATTTCCTATATGATATGAGCCAAGACTGCATCAAATAAAAAACCATTAAATCTGCCTACCCCTCTAGGGTACGTTGACGTATCCATGCGTAAAACAAACCGTAATGTTTTAATCTTTGACAAATTGTATGGCAGCTGCTCTATGACTTAATTATCTGTCAAGTAGTGGTGACATTTTCAGTTGAACTATTTTCTAGAAAGAAAAATAAATCGGATTGTAGAGATTCACGTCGTAGTATCTATATAATAACTCGCAGGTGCATGTATTAAATTATGCACATTGTGATTATTTTAATATAAGTAAGACTAGCATAATAATAAAAATGAGTAAGCATATGTATTCGACTGCTAACCTTACGGACAAGGAACTAAAAGAGCAGGGAAATAGATTGTTCAGTTTAAGAAAATTCGAAGATGCTATGAACTGCTATACCAAGGCTATTGTGAGTGTTGTTTGTGTTTTGTGTTTTGTGTTGCGGAAAACAAATATGGTACCCTACAACGTTAATGAACGTTTCAGATCAAAAACCCATCTGTGGCAACATATTTTACAAACCGCGCACTATGTCACTTGAAGATGAAAAGATGGGAGTCGACATGCAATGACTGTCGACGTGCACTGGATATTGACAATAATCAGGTCAAGGGACATTTTTTTCTTGGCCAAGCTCTGGTTGAACTTGATTGCTATGATGAGGCAATAAAACATTTACATCGTGGTAAGTAATTCATAAATTAATAATATTATTACTAAGATGATGGTAAATATGATCTGTACGATAATGAGATGTTCCTTTTCTTGATTTGTTTCATAAATCTCTACACCTAAGCTTCTTTGTCTTAAACAAAAAACTAGAAGATGACTGTGTAGTTATAAAGACACAGAAGTAAACTTAATAATAATAATCCTTAACTATTTAGAGATGTCACAAATGTTGTGTACAAACAACCTTCGCTTCAAACCTTTGTAAATTTATGCATTCTGGTTGAACCAAGTCATAATTTTAAAAAAATTGTTGATAAATACATATTTTTGAAACTAAAGGACAAGACAAGATTTTAAAGTTTTATAAATACCAGCTTTTGTCTGTGACTCCGTCTATGCGGAATTAATAAAAACAAATGCAAGTAGCCTATGTGTTCTTCCAGACTATCCTCTGCCAAATGTAAAAAAATATAGCAAACAAAGTACTTCCATCCTTAACTATTTGAAGATGTCACTTACAAATAATGTGTACAAACAACCTTTGTAAATTTATGCTGTTCTAGTTAAACCAAATCATAATTAAAAAACATTATTGATGAATATATATTTTTTAAATTGAAGGACAAGACAAGATTTTAAAGTTTTGTAAATGCACACATACCAGCTTTCGTCCGCTACTTCGTCCGCATAGAATAACAAAAAATGTAAATAGCCTATGTGTTCTTCCAGACTATCCTCTAGATCTATGCCAAATTTCATCGAAATCTATTCAGCCGTTAGGCTACAAACTCTAACAAACATCCATCCACCCTTCTAAACTTTTCCATTTATAATATTAGTATGATTAAAGCAGCTGACTGTACAAGAAGTAAACTTATGCTTTTTAAAGACAGTAGATTTATCTTTGACGTAATAATTGCATCTTAATTATCAGATATTACTGGCAACTGGAGAAACCATTGACTTATTCATTACAGTATAGCAAAGCTTATTATCCAATTACATGTTGAATGGAAAGTATTATAGTGTATTTTTAATTCCCACCTGACAAATTGTGTAACTTATTTTAATTATAAAAATTCACTTCTCGGGATAGCCGAAGCTAGTAGTTTAATTTGATTTTATACTTAGTGTATATGCAGTAAATCTTTATTTAATTTTCTTTTATACTAAGATTATAAAGAGGAAAGATTTGTATGTATTGAAATAACTCAAAAACTACTAGGCAGATTTCAAAAATTCTTTTACCATTCAATATTTATGTTATCACTGTACTCAGTTACTACATAGGCTATGTTTTTAATTTCAAATGGACAAAGTCGCAGGCAACACAAGTGTTAAATAGAGAAAATCATGGATGCTATAATTTTTTCTTTACTGGGTTTTAAGTTGAACCAATAAATACCTTTAATGATAGAATAATTGAATATTCAGCACTTTAAGGTGTGGTTAAATATATAAGGTGCAAAAATCACGTAAACGAAGACGATAGAATTAGATGACATAACAGTGCAAATCTATTACTGTCCAAGTGACATACATTGACCTAAAAATAGATATAACATAAGCAGAAATAAACAGAGTAACTCTGATATAATATACAAAACCGGCTTTTTTTTTTTCAAAAGTGTCTTCATAATTTATTCTGTAAATGATTTAGTCTATCCAGATGCTAAGATAGATCCAAGTTTTTTTTATTTTACAGAAAGTACAAAAATTGTTAAATCTTGGTATACTCGGATCAGGTTTATTTATTGCTAGCACTCTCTTCAGATTAGTAAGCTTGGATTTTTACCAACCGTCACCCCGCTCTGTCCCCACCTGGGGAAATTAGAATAAAAAGTTTCACCCGTCCTACATTTTAGTCCCACTATCACCTATAAGGTGACTTATGGAGCTGCTAAGAAATAAAATAAGTTCCAAACTTTTTATTCTCATCTGGCCCCACGTGGGGACAGAGCGGGGTTACTGGATGGGAATAATCCGTAAGATTGACGAAAATATTGTTATTGTCAAAAATTGTAAGTTCAACTATATCAGGCACATAAGTGTTTTTAAATGAAAATAATGTACAGCCAAAGTAATCTTTGCCACCCATAGATAGAAGTAAACCAGAGGAACTACAGTTAGTTGCTGTCTTTTTAGTAATTTAACATTTTCATTCCAGCAAATGACTTGGCTAAAGAACAGAAGTTGAACTTTGGTGATGATATAGCGGCACAGCTTCGTATCGCCAGAAAAAAGAGATGGAATGTTCAAGAGGAGAAAAGGATATCACAGGAGATTGAATTGCAGACTTATTTGAATAGGTAAATAAACTTTTATAGGCTGTTCTTGTTCAACAAAAGAAGTATCACAAAATCTCACTCCATTTGAATCTACATAAAAAAAAATGTTTGCTTTAGGGCCTGTCCCCACCATTGGCTGATAAAGGCTCAGATAGTTTAAAAATGATGTCACAGTCAGATAAGGGACCAAAAACCGATATTTCCATTATATATTTCACTTCACAGGCCCTTTTACTTATTTGTTAGATAACTATTATTGTTACTATTTAACCGACGAATTAATAACTCTCCAAGGGCATACATTGTTTGTTACAAGTTCTTGTATATAAATAAATGTATTCTTTTAAGGTATTTAAAATCATCCCTTGTATTTTCGTAGGTTAATAAATGATGACATGCAGCGTAGAATAGAATCAATAAAAATAGAAAACCCTAATGAAGAAGAGGCTAATTCAAAAATTGCAAAAGTTGAAGAGGAATGTGTAAGTGTTTATAAAAAAATATGTATTTAGATCATCTTCCTCCTTATTCCATTACTGAAGGTGTTTTGCGTTGAGATGATTACTTGATTATTAAGGTCTTAGCATATTGCAATAATGGGCTAGAGTCTTATATTACAGGATGTTTCTTTATTAAACGGTTGACAGTTTAATATTAAGACTTTGATCTTATTGTATCGGTATTTTAATATTTTAATTAGATCACATAGAAGAATGTTATATAGTGTGATGCCATAAATAACACTTAAGAAGATAATGATAACCTTGATGTTTTTTAAATAGCTCTAAAGAGATTATAATTACTAATAATAAATGCCAAAGTTTAGATGTACGGATGGATGGATGGTGTTAGAGTTTGTAGCCTAAACGGTTGAACAGATTTCTATGAAATTTGGCATAGATATAAAGGATAGTCTGGAAGAACACACAGACTACTTGCTTTTGTTTTTTTTATTCCGTGCGGACGGAATCGCTGGCGAAAGCTAGTTTAATAATAAATTCGAAAGTTTATGTAGATGATTGTTTGTTAATAAATATAATATTCCAGAATAACTTATGGAATCTTGCTGAAATTTGGCATGGATGTAGAACATAGTTTGGAAGAACATGTAGGCTAGTTTATTTATTTAATTCAGACTGAGTCTCGATAGTTAATATTAAATAATTTTATCTTTAAAATAATTAGTTATCTATGATTCTATACTAATATAAAAAAGCGTTATCACACACTACTTCGTGGCGTAGGATGTCAGCAATCACAGCATATTTATGTATTTTTTTTATTAAAAAGTCTTACATTTACATGCTTTAGGCAATATTTTTTCACGCTGTTAAACTTAGGGGTAAATAAATTGGAAAAAACCATGTGGGAAAGGGACCATAAAGTAAAAGTTGCCAACATTAAGGAAATTTTGACAATTTTGACATTTGCAATCGAGAATTTGAGAAAAGTGAACAATTTTTTCTTTTAGATTTTACACTAATTGTGTTTCTTTGTTACAGAATAACTACAGTAGTGAACTAAATAATTTATTTTCTAAAATGGATGAAAGACGAAGGGTGAGTATATTGCCAATAAGCTGTTAATACAAGTTGTTAATAATTACATATATTATGTATACAGTGGTTAAATGTAATCGACCAAGAGATGGCGCTGTATTCTGTTGTATTAGGTTTTTATTGAATGAAATGATTGTAAGACTGAAACCATTATTAAATATTATTATTTTATGTAAGAAGCAGTTGTAAAATTGTAATTTATTACAAATGTAACAATATATATGCTGCATTGACATTTTATGGAATAAAAAAGGAAGAAAAAGGGCAACGGAAAAAAAGGAGAAAAGGTTAAGATGAAAAAAAAAAAGATGTCAAGAATTTTTATTAGAAAGAAAAAAATCCACATAAAAATGGTGTTAGTTTATTGAGAAAATATGTTCTGTTTTTATATTTTATTATATTAATTATATTTATATTTCCAGAAACGTGATGTGCCAGATTATTTGTGTGGTAAAATAAGTTTTGAGATTCTCAACGAGCCAGTCATCACTCCGAGTGGAATTACGTACGAAAAGAAAGATATAGAGGAACATCTCGAGGTTTGTTTCAACTATATTTGGTTGAATTTATATTGTACTAGCTTTCGCCCGCGATTTCGTGCGCGTTGAATTAAAAAAAGAATAAAAATAAGCCTACGTGTTCTTCAAGACTATCCGATATATCTATGAATAAATTTCGATCCGTTCAGCCGTTTAGGCACAAACTCTAACATTCATCCAATTAAACTTACGCAATTTACAGTGGTAGTGCCCGCTTTAACATGTTAGCAGTGCAGGGCCGGCACGCCCCCAGTAATACCACGACCACACAGAAGACAGGCGTGAAATGGAAGCAATTCCGCGTTTCGTCTGATGAGTGTGGTGCCGGAGGCCTAATTTAAGTCCCTTTCTCTTTACCACCCTTTTCTTATAAGGAGAGGTTGGGAAGAGGAAGTGGATTTGACAGTGGAGAAGATGCATAGGATGGGGATATATCCTCTTTATGTGCGTCTCCTCCTCCGTCGGATAAGGATAGGCAACGCATCTGCAATTGCGGATGTCTATGGGCAGCGGTGGCTTCGCCATTTTGGCGATTTCAGGTGGTCGCTTGCTCGTTTGCCACCTTATGTTATATATAAAAAAAATTATAAATTTAGTAATATTATTATATCTAAACTAATATTATAAAGAGGAAAGATTTGTAATTTGTATGTATTGAAATAACTCAAAAACTACTTGGCCGATTTTAAAAATCTTTCACCGTTAGAAAGGTAATTTATCTGTGAGTAACATAGGATATATTTTTTAATTTCACGCGGGCGAAGTCGCGAGCAACAGCTAGTATACTAATATATGCATAATGTAAAATGCATTTATTAAATAAATATTCCCAGTTATTTGGCAAATATATCCATGAATGAAAAGGTGGTATAGAAGACCCTTTAAAAAATTATACGTAATAAGTTGATTTTTGCAATTTTTTTTGTGTATTCCATATGTGTAAACAATTCTGTCTCTATTTATTAAATTATAAGCTAGCTGTTGCTCGTGACTTTGTCCGTGTGAAATTAAGAAAATACTAAACCCAGCCTGTGTCCATCTGTGTCCAGTTACCATACTGATTTCAAAAATGTACACTGCAAGAATTTTTGAAATCGGTCTAGTAGTTTTAATAATCTGTCCCTTAAGCTTAAGGGACAGATCTACAAGTCCATCATAAGACCTGTCCGTATTGTATGGATCGAATGTTGGGCCACCAAAGTTGCGGATGAAAGGCAGGCAATTGCATGTAGCTGAGATGCGTATGTTAAGATGGATGTGTGGTGTGACAAAAATGGATTAAGTTAAGAATGTGTACCTTAGAGGAAGTTTGAAAGTAGCGCCAGTGGTGGAGAAATTGAGAAGCAAAAGGTTAGCGTGGTATGGACATGTTATGCGACGAGACGATGGGGACATAAACCTGAAAGTGTTAAGAATGAATGTGGATGGCTACAAAGGAAGAGGAAGACCGAAGAAAGTATGGATGGATTGTATGAAAGAGGATATGCTTAAGAAAGGAGTGGATTCAGATATGACAGCTGATAGAGATGTATAGAAGAGCAGCACATACTGTGCCGACCCTCCATAAGGAATAAGGGCAAGTGGATGGTTTAGTACATTGAGTAATTTCAATTCAATACATTCAAAAAAAAAAAAAAACAAATCTTTCCTCTTTATAATATTAGTATAGTGTATAGATATAGATATGATTTTGGTTTAAACGTATTTATTTAAAACATATAGTTTTGTGGGGTTTTTGTAATATTAATTGTATTCCAGAGGGTGGGTCACTTCGACCCGGTGACGCGCGTGAAGCTGACCGCGGACCAGCTCATACCCAACTTCACCATGAAGGAAGTTGTCGACGCTTTCCTGCAGGACAACGAGTGGGCACTCGATTACTAATCGATTAATAATCGATTCGTATCGACGTATCGATTATAATTGTAAAGATGCAACTACAATTTGAAAATAGAATTGTGATTTCTCATAATTTGAAAATGGAACAAAGCATTTTTTCGATTGCGTCGATTATAATTTTTATCGATTATTGTATCCTGTATATAATCGTCTAGAAATCGATTCGATCGATTCGTTAGTAGGTATTAAGAATGGAAAATCTTTGTTAATTCCATGACATTAAATACCTTTTAGGATTTAAAATTGAATTGACTAAGGACATGAAACCTTGCCATTTTGTGGGAAAATATGAAACTAATTTCTTCATACATAAAAACTTGACTGTTATATTCTTGTTTTGTCTATACTTTCTTTGTTTCATGGTACTTTTTTATTTTTTATATATTAGTTACTTAACTACAAAGTAACTTTAAATGGGTAACTTAAAATACCTTTTCCTTGTAGTCACAACATAGTATTTATGTAAGATTTTTTTTAGTTTATTTAAAGGATGTAGTAATGTGACCCTCATGTAATTTAAATGTTCTTATTTACCAGAAAAAATGGCCGTTAGTAAATTTATTTAGGAAATAAAAATTCCCTTTCGATTACAACAAATACATTTAGTACTAATATATGGCTATATATTCGTATTATTGTAGTTATAAAAAATAACCTTGTATAAAATTTAAAATTAAATGCGATAATAATTAGATGCAGTAAACCCATATTACAATCAGGATCTGTCCCACAACTGGCTGATAGAGACTCAGATAGTTAAATTGACGTCACTCATAAAGTAACAAAATCCGTTACATATTTTACACGTTTCATTGTTATCAGACAATTTACATTTTGGTGGGACAGGCCCTTATAATTGTATATTATTCGTATCCTTGCTTGTGTGTTATTTTCACATTTATATAGTTTTTATAGAAAATAACTTTAATTAAACATTTTAATATTAAAATGTTTGCAGTAAAAACTCCGTGTAAAATTAGTGCTATAATAATTCCCTGCTTTACTAAGTTCTAGATTAAATTTTAATTAAGGAAATAATAGTTTCGAAAAATAGTTTTTCCAGTCATTTGGTAGAAATCTTCGGTGTTTATATTTAAAATTAATATGTAAGTCTATGTGATTTATATTATTCTTGTAGAGAATTACACGCGTATAAATTAAACGGAAAATGTATACATTTGTATTTTTTCAAAACATTCACAATATTTACAATAATATTGTTAATTAAAGTACATTTAAATCTCAAGATATTCCGTTTTAATAATAAAATTCAATATAAGATATATATGCGTGTATTTATAAACTAAGAAACATTTGACTTACGAAAATATTTATAACTAATTTACTGTGGATTTATGTGTAGAGGATTGATGTCTTTTTACTTTTACTTTCAATGTAATGTATGTAAAACTATATTAATACAATTAGCAGTCGTAAAAGCAAATTTTTGATTTTATAATTAAATTTCATAATTTGCAATGTAGAAATATTCACCTTACCAATATTGTTAACCCTTAAATGCGTGATTTTTTACTTAATTATAAAATCAATATTTCAGTATAGGCTTTGAGTCACAGATTAAGGTAAAAATAATATAAAAACTATAATTTTGTTCGTAGACTTTTGGCAACAATATGCATTTAAGGGTCAACCCCGCTTTTTCATCTTGGGCCTAAATATATGGCAACCTCAAATATTTGTCAAACAATAAAAATACATAGATGTCAAACGTTTTGTTTATTTTGATCCTATTTTCTTACCTTAAGAAATATATAAAAAAACATAAAACGAGTACAGAAAAGGCAATATCCCTGATATTAAGAATAATGAACGGCAGATGTGTTTAGTTGTTTTTTTTTTAATCTGACTAACATGATCTATGACGAAAGTGGTTAAAAAACAACGTATTGGCAAAATCTATTCTCTACACTATTATAATAAAGTGTAAACACACTTCTTTGTTGCCAAAGATGTCAGCAATTACAGCATATTTTTGAATAATTCTTTTTCTAATAATATTTATAGTGTACCAAGGACCGACTTGCATGTTAGATGTATGAAAGTGGATGACTCGAGAAAGGTCCGGATCTAACCAAAAATCCGTTCTCTATAGAACTCGCTCATTAAAAACAATTACTAGTACAAGTGTATCAAATCTAAGCAAAATACAACGCCAAATAAACGTGGAATTCTAACACATGTTACTGCAGTTGACAATACGCTTGGTAAGCGCGCTTTCTATGTAGTATCACGAAAATTCCTGGTAACATTCTCGTAACATCGACAAAGTGCTAGATTTGTGCAACGCCTCTAACGGGAGCAAAGTATACTAACATATACAAATGTCGATGACGTTACGAATACATTCTCGCAACGTGATATTCGTGATATACCCTATGTAGAGTTCGCTCGAAAACGACAACTTTGTCATATGTCATGTTTCGTTAACATGGAACATCCTTATCTTTTACTATGGGATATTACTGCATTGTGACGTAATGTAAATTTAACGTAACTTTTTAAATAAGTTAAATACTTAACAATTACAAATACATTTCGCTTTCTAGTATTAATTTCATAAACAACATAAAAAATCTTTTAACAAAAATACTTTGAACATTTACGTTAATAAAATGCAATTGTAAAATGACGTCGTTATATTTCTACGTGGGTAGTTATTAAAAAGTGTTCGCTGTGTGCATTTTAATAACCGCCGCTCGCTAAGTAGTTCCGGCTTTACGCCGCGCCGCTGCGACCGGCACTTAATTACTACGCAAAGGGAAAAATCATTTCACAAGTGAGGTGAGTGAGTTATAAATTTTGCATTTCATTCACAGAATCTATTTGAACTTTTCTGTTAAATGGTTTTTGGAAGGCTTTTATATTTGAATAAAATTGTTGAATGTTTAACTGCTACACAGAGTACATTTATGTTTACGTAAATTCCACGTAATTTATTTTTAATGCCTCTCCCATTAAAGACTCTGGGTGTGACATTATGAATACCACGTCAATAATTCAGGTAATAAATTAAAACTTGTCTAAACAAAATATTACTTTAAATATAACGTAAAGTTGTATTAAATTTAATTCGCTTTACATAAAAAAATCTGTTATATGTCTTAAAGAATGTACCAATAAGCTGAGAAAATAAGAATACAATATCGCGAACTAATAATCTCATCAGAGTGAAATCTAGTAGAGAACGCGATCAGCGAGAGAAATTATTGCTCCAGGATGTTGGAAGCTTTGATTACAGAAAAATGGACTAAGCAAAGAGCTACTGTTGTACTAAATTAATTCTGTTATTTTTTCCCAAGGGCTGGAAGCAAACAATCACATATTCTCTGATTATCTGACACTTATAGAACTTAAGACGTCTTTATAACTTACTAACTTTCGCCTGCGACTCCGTGTGGAATTTAAAAAAACAAAATTGAGTAGCCTTTGTATTTTTCCAGACATCTACACCTGTGCCATAGTCGATATCCGTTATTCCGTTTAGGCTACAAACTCTAACAATCATCCATCCATCCTTCATCCGTCTAAACTTTCGTATTTATAATATTAGTAGGATAATCTCTCTTTATGCTTCGTTTCTTCATTCCTGAAGTTTTCTTCTTAATATAATACTGAATAATTTTACACACAACCTAATGTTTAAACTTTATTGTTCATTGTTATTTGTAAGGTACCAAGCAGGTCCTGATTTTTAAAAATCAATGTGACCAATATAGTGGGTGCATCGTAACTAACTGTTGCGTTTGGCGCATCGCCATACTGCCGACATTTACATTGAATTATTATTTGAACTGGACAAAAACCATTGTTAGCATTTTGCAATATGTTCTCGCGTCCACGTTTACATGATAGTATCGTAGTTTATTTAACTATATTTTGTAAGGCGCCGAATTTATTGTTTCAATGATATTCGAACTTTCAAAACTGTATTGTAGACAAAAGGATACTGAACTAGTTAGTCGGTAATTAGAAACCTCATTTTTTTGTACGATGTTTTCTTGAGAAAATACTTAGCAGTGTATTGCGGCCTGAAAAAGTTACATAAGATATTTTGCATCTCCGATCGACTTTTAAGACCTGATCCGCTGAGTGTCGAATGCAGATGTCACCGAACTGAACTGGGTCAAGGCGTTTCATCCTACTGAAGTGGTAACTAAATAAAATATACGAAAATTTTACAAAGGACATTTATATTGAGGATTAAATATTAATGAATTTCAATTTCGTGTGGTCTGAATAAAAAAAGAATGGACTAACAATAGTTACAGTAGATCATATTTTTACATTCTTCATTTATTATTGCTAATATAAAAGTAAATTGTAGTCAAATTTCAATTACATATGTCTATTTAATCTCGAATGATCTAAATTCCCATTATTACCTAACCTCTTTTATATACAAAGTGGGTTGTTCACATTTTTTTGAATATTTCGCTATAAAAATTGGTCAGTTTAATACTGGTCGTTCAAATTTAAGCTCGTTTCCATCAAAAAAGGCTTTCGTATGAGTAAGGAATTCGAGTTAATATTTTAAATTTAAAACGTGTAAGTACAGAGCGTGTTTCAGGCGCGTGAATATTTAACGAGGAGTGTTTAAGTTTGCCGCTCTGCATTAACGATGCTCCGGTTCAGTATTCGCTTAACTTTGAACTAACTTGGTAATTATCGGACTTTGATTCGTACGTACGTTGTAACTTGCTACTTGGTAATGAAACTCGGCGCTCGCTTGCACAATTTATTAACGTTGCAATTAAGATGATATCGTTTTTCGTAACTAACATCTATTTTAAAATGGGAATTAAATTCGTAAATTATTGTCAAAATTTAATTTTATACACGTATCGTTGTTAAACTTTTCTAAAGTAAATTCTGCAGATAAAGTTAAATGAGACCCTTAGTGTAGATTTAGGCGAATAAAACCACATTAATGGAAAATTTAATCGAGTCAGATCTAACCCGTGAATTATTTAAAAAAAAATTTTTTTTCTTCCACTTTTATACAAATTCAATTATTATTATAAATAGCAGAACATTTCTTTAACCAATATATATTTTTTAACTTAATCGTAGATAAATCGAAACAAATCATAACTTTGTGATTTAAAATCTTTATTTCTCTAAGAATTTACAAAATTCCCTGCCTGAGAAACATTTATATAGCATAACTAGCTTTCGCCCGCGACTCCGATTACATGGAAAAATGTGAGTTCCAGACTATCCTCTGCGCCTTTGCCGAATTTTATCGAGATCCGTTCATCCGTTTAGGCTACAAACTCTAACAAACATCCATCTAAATTTTCGCATTTGTAACATTAGTAAGATAAGACATTATTAGTAATTTATACAATACATTTTTAGTTGTAAGTTTATACACATTAGGTATATATATTCAATTTGTTTCCATTTCTCACCGACGGTATGTATATGGCTTGGTATTTTAATAAACTATTAAAACATTCGTGGCCAGGCTTGCATTCTCTAGGGATTACAGTCAAGTGTTGAATTGTACCCGAGGTCGGTGAAAGTCAACTGTGAAATAACGTCACTGAATAATCCGCTTAAAATTAATAGGAACCCCCGTGGGACATGTCGTTGGTTTTTTATAGGTTATAAACGTATAGTTTATACGATATAACTTCCATAGGCCTTTGAATTTTTCAGCCAGTCGGGGTTATTGATAATTTAATATTATCAATCTATACTAATATTTTAAAGCAGAAAGATTTTTATTTTCGTATGTATTTAAATAACTCAAATTACTGGGCTGATTTTAAAAACTCTCACCATTAGAAAGGTAATTTATCTGTGAGTAACCTAAGTTTAGGTCGGTTTTTTATTTATTTTTAATTTCACGCGGACGAAGTCGCGAGCAACAGCTAGTATATAATCAAAAGGAAAGATCTGTGTTTTTGTATGTATTGAAAAAACTCAAAAACTATTGGCCCGATAACAAACATTCTTTCACTATTCAAAAGCTACGTTATTAGTGGCTAACATAGGCTATCTTTTTTGTTATTTTCTAATTCCACGCTGACGAAATCGCGAGCAACAACTAGCTAGTATTTTATACGTTAAAAACACTAATGAAATTGAGAACCTAATTATTTTTAAAGTTAGTTAAAAATAAATACTTGTTATTTTTACAATTTTAAACTGACTTGGGAGGACTTTA